TATTAGAAAACTCTTCTTTTGATTGGCTGCAATTATGAGTGTATTTAGATTATGCATAAAAATTTACCTTATACGCATCATTAAAATGATGATTCTCAGAACCATAATCGGAAAATCTTAAGACTTAACATTGCGAAATTTAAGAAATTGTAGACATCATAACTTTTGTAATTCCAGGATGGGGGAACTGATATTCTTGGCACAGGTAGCACTCACTGAGGGCTACTTATAGAAAAAATTTGGATGAATTCTGGCGCGTAGTTCTCGAGAAAATGAAGGCCCAATATGAGGTTTTTAGAAATCCTTGGTTTTTGAAAGTCCAATATCTTAATTAAGGAATATATTCTGAAAATTTAATCCAATTATTTCGAACTAGCATTACCTAAGCTTCATTTTGAATCTAACAAATCATGGTTCCTATGTCCAAGTGTAGGCTTTCTAGAGTACTCGATTTTAGCAAAAATCGCATTTTTCTGGTTTTTGCAAGCGCGCTGGTGCTTCGAGATTTTTATGTACACACCCGAAAATTATTCCATATAGACAACTTTTTATGCTCTATCAAATGGTCTGGTTAAGATTTTCAAATCGTGTTCACGAAAACAGAAACTTCTTGGTTTAGGGGATCAAATTTTTTAGAAAATCAGATTTTGAGCCGTATCTGTAGGACTTAGCGCATGATTTCGTTAAAAACAAAATATGGTTTCCTGCACAACTCGATACGCGCTACAAAACTAGCATGATTAAATCTTGCCTGCAGAAGATCGATGTAAATCTGGGCGGACCTGCGTGAAAGCACCCATAATCAAGATAAATTAGTAAAAAAAATCCAACGATCTGAAGATACATCAATTAAATATTATGTTCCCATCAGTGAAGTTTATGATGTAATTAGAATCACTCATTTTAATATCGGTCACCATGGCATTAAGTATACTTTAAAAGAAATTTTAAAAAAATGTGCTAATATTACCGAAAAACAAGTTAAGTTATTTATTTCTGAATGTAATGAATGTAAAATAAAACGTGCAAAACCAAAAGACTCATCGAAATTAGTAGTAAGTCCAATTATTTCAAATGATTTTCATTCACGTGGCCAAGTTGATTTAATTGACATGCAATCTTCTCCTGATGGTAAATTTAAGTTTGTATTAAATTATCAAGATCATTTTACAAAATTTTGTATTTTACGACCACTTAAATCAAAAACCGCAGCAGATGTCGCGTACAATTTATTAGATATTTTTACTACATTTCGTGCACCTGCAATCTTACAATCAGATAATGGCCGTGAATTCGTTGCAAAAGTTATTGAAGAATTAGCATTAATATGGAAAGATCTTAAAATTATCCACGGAAAACCTCGTCATCCACAATCGCAAGGATCTGTGGAAAGATCTAATCAAGATACAAAGCAATTATTAGGTATGTCATATCAAAAATAGTTATTTCTAATATCTTGCTTATTGTTTAGGGAGATGGATTCGCGAAAATAACTCCAATAAATGGACCGAAGGCTTGCGCTTCGTAAAATTTCAAAAAAATTCATGTTTTCATCGGGTATTAAATAATAGTCCATATGCAGTTTTATTTGGCAATCAACCAAAATTAGGTTTATCATCAACATGTTTACATCCTTCTATTTTTAATGATATAACAACAGAAGAAGAATTAACAAAAATGAATTAGGTTTATTAACAAATGATGCAATTGATGTGAATTCATGTGCAAGTGATAGTGAAGAAGATGAATTAAATATTGATGAATTAAAAATTGATGAACCGAATTGTTACAGGGATGTCGCTCGCATACAACTCTATATATCTATATATGTCATCCTCTATCCTCTTTCATCTTCTTTGATCTGGATTTGTTTCTCTTCTCTCTCTCTCTTCTCTTCTCTTGTTTTTTCTCTCTATATAAAGATGTAACTATTATATTCAAGGAGATTCTTGTTAAATAAAGTTAACGTACACATTGTACGTACACACAATACATCTCTCACTCTAACATTTGGCGACCCTGCAAAACAACATCCAGCAATAATAAAAAAAAGAAGAAAATCCACCAACATCCAGCAAGAATCAATCATTAATTAATTCCATTAAGTTA